TCGGCTCACTGCAAGCTCCGCCTCCCGGGTTCATGCCATTCTCCTGCCTCAGTCTCCCGAGTAGCTGGGACTACAGGCACCCGTCACCACGCCCGGCTAATTTTTTGTATTTTTAGTAGAGATGGGGTTTCACCGTGGTCTTGATCTACTGACCTCGTGATCCGCCCGCCTCGGCCTCCCAAAGTGCTGGGATTACAGGCGTGAGCCACTGCGCCTGGCCTTAGTCATCCTCTTAACCATTGGTCACTGTTGTCCTGAAATTTGTTGACTTCCCTGGTGTCAAGGGTTAACTTTTCCTTATCTTCTATTAATATGATCCAGCTGGTCCATCGTACTTCTGTACAGGCTGTTTTGAGTCACACAGCTTGCTCTATCAATTAAAGGTATAGCTTATGTACAAATATATTTTAGCTTTCATTTCTGATTTTCAGCCTGGAGCAGTGGCACACTAATCTACTGCTGTGTTATCTACAAACTTCCCTGTCAACCATTGCCAAGGCTCACTGCAGGGTCAGGGTCTGAGATCTCACTGAAGCTCTTCCATTGGCAAACCAATACATTGATTCTTTACTTGTTTTCTGACTCAGGTCTGCGGTTAGAGTGTAATGCAGTTACTGTCTTTAAAATATCATGCTAATTCTGTTAAGTTCCTCTTACATTCAGATCTTTTCCAAAAGCTGGAGATCACATAATTCAAACATCTACTTAGCTACACTGGGTTCAGGCTGAGAGCCTGTTTCTCAGCCCAACATCCTGGGGTAATCATCCACCTACACCTGGCTCAGCTGCATTGGCCAAGAATAACAGTGCATCTGCACTTTTCTAAGCACGTTTCTGAGATCTTGCCAATACTTTGTAATACACACATGCTCATTCACACAATCTTAGGGACTAAGTCTATTTGTCTGTGTATCCTCTACAACTATCATGTGTCAGGCACATGGCAGGTGCTCAGTAAAAAGTTCTAAATGGGCCAGGCGTGGTGGCTCATGCCTGTAATCCCAGCATTTTGGGAGTCTGAGGCGGGCGGATCAGGAGGTCAAGAGATTGAGACCATCCTGGCTAACACAGTGAAACACTGTCTCTACTAAAAATACAAAAAATTAGCCAGGCGTGGTGGTGGGCGCCTGTAGTCCCAGCTACTTGGGAGGCTGAGGCAG